ACAAAGGAACTGAAGGATGTGCTTTCTCTCCTAACTTTCTTGGCTTATAACATTTTTTTGGCTGTACCAATGCAATTACTTAACTCAGTCTGTCTTTGCAGGCCATTATTTCAGTGGGAAAAGCATTTGTAATTTAGAAATGATTCTTGTTTGAGGGCTGCCTTTGTATAACAATGGGTTGAAAGAAAGAGCCTGTTACTTTACCTTCCCGTTTGCTCTGGGGAATAACTTTGAATATTAGGCGAGTCTCATCTGGCTCCAATTAGACATGCCTACCCCTCATCCTGGAGTAGCAGTTCTGTCCTCATTGTGCAATGAGGTGGTTATTTTGAATCCAGCTTTGAATTAATTTTTTAACCAACATCTTGATGTTTTCAACTTGTTTCTAACTAAAACATTGAGTTGGATTTGATGACATCGTAGTCATTTTGCTTATTTAATTTGTTTGGTGTTAGCGGAAGCCTCCTGGCTGCTTCTGCTCCAGCAGAATCTGTGTCTAGCAAAGGCGGGCCGGACGGCAGTTTCACAGTCCCAGGGCTTGCTTTGTTGGATCAGGGGAGAAGCCGAGAGGAGCATGTGGTTTCTGCCATCTTTGGCCTGTAAAAAGAAAACTGGACACTGCGACACAAACCTGGCTAAGGCCGACTGTCTGTGTGGCCCTCGTTACCTGGAGGCTTGATCTCCGTTCAGTGAACAGGAGGTAGCCTGGACTCAGGCCCTGGGAGCTGTAGCTTGAAAGCACAGTGGGGTGTCCTGTGGGCTGGGGTGGCGGGAACTGTAAGATGCTTACTTCAGAGACCAAAAACCTGCCGGGAGCCAGACGCACAGGGGTTTGAGCCTTGTCTCTACTGCCTGCTCGCTGAGTGAATATGCGTTCCTCATCTGTAAAATGGAGCTGTGATAGGGCCCTGTGCTGCGGTTGTCACAGGATTCGATGAGATAAGGCAGCAAGGCCCTCCGCACAGGGCCTGGCTGGCAGTAACTGGTCACTGCTGTCCCCAGTGTCATGCAGCCTCCGGAGCCTGGGAGCTCTTGCTGGAAGTGCTCTTTGCCACCCCCTGGTGGCGAGGCTCAGCGTGGTCTAGTACAGAGGAAGTTGGGAGATGTCACCTTGAAATCCAGAACATTGCTTGGGGTTTTATTGCTTTCCTGATGGCCTCCAAGGAAGACAGGAGGAGAGGAAAACACTCCAGGGGCTCTAAAAGCAGCTCGATTGTCTTCCTCATGTGGGAGGTTGAGCAGGAAAGGCTGTGTGGGGCTCCTTGCCGGTGAGGTTGGGGAGGCCCCAGCCACGGTTCGCTGGCGGGACAGGCAGGAGATGGTGATGGGGGAGAGGAAGGGATCTGGATGAGATGGCAGTGGGGCTGGGGCTGGGCCTGCTGTGCGTCTCTCAATTAGACCAACAGACAACTTCAGGCAGCTTCTTTGCCTCCCTTGTAGACTGAGTTTCTGAAGGGGCCACCCCCAGCAGCCAGCGCAGTGTGCGGCACACAGCCAGTGTCTAATAGTGGCACAGTGGCTGGGAGAATGAGTGACTGGACTCTGCCCTTGACGAGAAGGGACCAACCTGACCAAATCTCTCTGCCCCGTGGTGCTCAGCACGGAGCTTTGCATGCAGTAGTAGCTCAGGAATGAGTGAAGAAAGCATGTTCTCGGGGAGCTCCTTAAGATCCCATTAATAATAGTAATTGATTAATTGATCGTCTTTGATTACTTTGTACGTGTTATCATAGGTTCTGAGAGGTTTTTACCGAGAAGCATAAGGCACAGTCCCTGGCTTCTAAGAATGTATCTTGCTAGATGCTCAAGTTAAAATAAAACTGTTAAGTTGTAGTGCAAGTTGTGTAATAATGCAAGGCCAAAATGAGTCTTCCAGGTGGGTGTTGGAGCTGATACTGGAGAGAGGGCCGGCTTCGTGGGCTCGCCACCTGTCAGGTGCACAGGGCCTGTCTGGAAAGGGCACCACGCTTGGCTTAAATCTCTGCTGTTGCCACCTTGTAATTCCTAATAACTTTTGAACGGGGCCCTGCATCTATTTTCGCACCAGTCCCCGCAAACTGTGCAGCCAGTCCCAAAGCAAGGTCGGGGCGACCAGGAGAAGCTCCATGTGGAGGGGGTCTGGTGAGGTGGACGAGATGAGTGGCAGGGCCGGGCTGGGGCTCTCCAAGGACAATGGCCATCCTGGTGGCAGGCCTGCTGCAGCACGGAGGCCTGCCCAGGACATGCCCGTGGGAAGTCAGGGGCAGTGGCATTTGGATCCGAAGCATGCCTGTCTGTGAGGAAGTGGTGGCTCCAGAGGTGGGGCCCGCACGTGGGCTGGGTCTGCCCTGTGTGCAGAGGAGCAAGCTCACCCCAGCCCAGGGAAGCCCTTGAGAGCCACAACCACAGGTCCCACGTGGGAAGGCCACCTGGCCTTGATTTGCTGCTGTACAATCACTCCCCTGTCTGGAATCTGGCAGGTGGACACTTCATAGGGCTACTGGGAAACCCAGAGGAGGAAAACATGGGAAATGGCTCTGTAACCTCAGAAAAGGGGAGTCTTCCCTGGAGCCTGGCACAGTTGTTCCTGTTATTAGTAATCCAGTCTGTGCCGTGGGAGGTCAGGGAAGGGAGGGACCATCTGGGCCAGCGGAGCTGGAGGAGGGTGGGCTGGCACTGGAGCCCAGGGCAGGCAGAGGAGAGCCTGAGCAAGGACAAGAAGAGTGTGGCATGTTTACAGTGAGCAGAAGGGTGAGGGGAGCCAGAAACTCGCCCGGTGCAGAGCATCCTCCCAGAATGTGCCCTCTGCCCTGGGCTCTCCCACTCTGTTCTGTCTGTCTCTGGGCTTCCCTGTCCAGACTACCTTCTTTCTCTATAACGAAGGGAACGGCAGGACCGACCCTGGGCATTCACGGTCTCCAGCACAGCGTGGCTTCGGTGTGCCCCCTCCTCCACCCCTTGGCAGAAAGGCTGCCAGGCCCAGCCATTGGACAGTGTGAGGAGTGGTCGCTTTGTAACCTTGGGCAACTTTCTTAACCTCTCTGGTCCTCACTTGCTTCAGGAATACATGTGTTTACACTTGGAACTGCCAGGAGGAAATAGGACTATGATAAGAAAGGGTTTGCAGTAGCACCCTGCTGGGGACATGCTAGGACAGGGTGTGCGCTGTGTGTCCTTGTGAGTGTGGGCAGCGCCAGCCTCTCAGGACACTGTCAGAGGAGGTGATGGGGATATGGTGGACTGGCTCCTGGCTGCTAGCATAGCAGATAGGTTGGAGGCATGTCCCCTTGAACAGTCCTGCTGGGTGTGGGGGACCCAGGGTAGGGACAGAGGGGGCTGTTTCAGGGCCTGGCTGACTTAAGATACAGTGAGACAGACAGGGCTGTGGGTAGTTTGTGCGAAGTGCAAAGTGGCCTGGTCTTGGGAACATGAAAATAGCTCCCGTGTACCGAGTGCTCCCGTGCTCTGGTGTCCTTCTGAGTGCTTTACATGGATGACCTTGCTTGGTCCCCAGAGCACCATGAGGTGGGCATTACTGTCATGTCCATCCGAGCCTCAGCATCTCCCAGCTGTGGCTCCCAGGCAGCCTGGCTCCAAAGCCGCACAGCCCCCGGGTGGGCACTTTCTGCCTTCCCTCACCCCCTTGCCGTCTTGGGGCCCTGGCCCGCGGGCATCTTGGCTGGCCCCATCTCCTGCCTTCTGTGAATGGGGACTGCAGTGTGACCACATGCCGCGACCTGCCCATTCCCATCAACCCGCAGCAGATGTGGGAGTTGGGTGGGGAAGGAGCCTTAGCCTGGCTTCCTGTCTTCGGGATGTAACGACAGACAGCCCCACGCACTCCACAGAGGTGACGGTGCTGACAGGTATTTGGGATACCCAGTTTTCTTTCCCAATACATTTGTCCCTGTTTATTCAGAATGTGATAAACATTTTATTGTCATCCTAGCTTAATTAAATAGAAAAAAAAGTTGGTAGTCTAGAATTTTGGTACATTTCAAATATATTTTATTACTTTTCTCTTTGTCTTAGAAAGAATACGAAACCTGCATGCAGCGCTAATGGTCTCTGACACGTACATAGCATATAACAGCAGCACGACGCAGCGTGTGCGGAGGGGCAGGGTGTGGCAGGCGATCTTGAGTGCGTATGTACAAAGGAAAGGGCGCGCGGTCACTGCGCGGGATGGTTACATGGGGAGTCACGAATATATTGCTTTAGTCCTGCATGTTCCATTGTGGTGAGGGAAGGAAACATGCTTTGAAGGTTTCCCTTGTCAACAGCATGCGTGTCTGTAGCTGTGTAGTGCACATGTTTTCGTATATTTTTAAGTTTTCTCCTAAGGTTTTGCTAACAGGGTTGGGAACCTCACATGCTTCCGAAACAGTAAATACTGAAGCAGTGACCCTTTCAGAAACGCTCAGGTTGGAGACAAGACCCCACACCTTCTGTGAGGATCATTCGCTATCACAGGATCTTGGAAACGTTTCCTGGAGTGTGTAAAAATTAACCAGGGGGGAATGAAGCACATTTTTCTGGCAACCAAACTTGAGTTCCTCAAATAACAGATGCAGAGAGACCTGCTCCTGCCTGCCCGGCTGCAGGGGCCACTGCGGAGTCACACTGAGGCTGTGGCCAACCACAAGCCCAGGAGGGCCCGTGGCAGCTGTGCCGAGGCGCCAGGACCTCCGAGCGGAAGCTCCCCAGCTAGGAACCGAGCAGTGCCGCAATGAAGTGTCTCACCCAAGCTCGCTGTTCCTCCCAGGCGCTTATAAAGCTCAGATGTATAGTGACGTATGCATAAATACAAAAAAGCATTTTTAAAAAAGGAAAGGCATGAGTTTCCCCCCTTTCGGTAGAAAGCAGCCTGTGATGAAGTCTGGAGCACAAGAGAGACGGGTCTCACATCTGGAAGCCTTTCGCACACAGCTATAAAATGTAAAAACTGACCCTTGATAAAAAGTGCCTCATAACAATATAGACTTTGTGTCTTATGCCTGTGAGAAAGAAAGGTTTTTTGAAATCTGCAAAGTCCTTTGCTCAAGTCTCCCAACTGGTCTGGAGTTTTCCTATCAGAGATTTTTCACCCTATTCTTCGTAGACCCTGGGAAGAGAAAACACACGTGTGAGCGGCTCAGGACACGGGGCAGACGACTCCCAAGCTGCTGGCTCGGGTGTCACCCTCGTCTGCAGGGGGTGCCCCTCTCCCAGGACTGTAGGGGGAGGGACTTCTCTGAGGACGAGAGCACAGGGACCGCAAACACGCACACAGTCTCGGCTTTGTCCCTTCTGACCATCTTCCACCTCTGCAATCTCATTTTACCCTCAAAGCCCCTTGGAGCAAACCCTCTTTGCATGTGAGGAAACTGAGGCACCACAGACTCAGGATGTGCCCTGTGGCCATGGGCTGTCTGTCAGTGGCGGGAACGAGAAGTCTTCCTCTGGCATGGTGGGCCGCTCCCGCATCTCTCTACAGAAAATAGCAGGGCTGGGGAGGCATTCTCTCCCTTGACTCAGGCTTGTATCTTTGTATTATGCCCAAAGAATACATGTCCTCCAGAAAAACGTGCATTCTAGAAGCTGCTGCCTGCGGACAGAGGCGGCTGTAGTGGGGCTGGGCTGTGCTGCTCCACCTCTGCCGGCCCCCCGCCTGCATCTGCCTGCCCCACCCTGCCCCACTCAAGCGGTCTCCACGGCTGCACTGGGGCCACACTTCACACTCAGACAGCCAGTCAAGGGACATTTACCAGGGAGGAAGGAGAGGACAGGGGCATGTCCCCTTCCTCTCCCAGCACACCTCAGCACTCCGAGAAAGAGGAGGGACTAATGAAGTGAGGGAAGGCCTGGCATGTCTTTCCTTATTGGAGTTTGTAGAAATAAAAGAGAGCAGGGTGGTGTTTAGACCCAAGCGTGTCTCTTGTTCCAAGCTGCAGCCCAGGTTTGGGGGGAGCCGGGTGGGCAAAAGGTTTGAGCATCTCCCCACAGTCAGATCAAGGTGTCCTCACCCTCCTATGTGTGAGGCCCTGGGGTCAGCCTTGTTCCACTTTTGATGACACAAGGCCTGGAGGATGACAGAGAGTGGGCAGAGCAGGCCCTGCTTTTGCCATGTGAGCTGCCTGGCCTGCCCAGGCAGAGGGTTCATTGCTATCAGATTGACAGAAAATAATCTCTCACCCTCATCACTTTCTATTTCAAGCAACTGCAGAAGAGGCAGTTTTGGAGGCAGCAAAAAAGGCTCAGGTACAGGGGTTGTGCCGCGTACTGGCTGCAGGAGGGCTGGGCCAGGTAATGGGGAGGGCACTGCAGGCACCCACTGTGGCTGTGCCTGCTGTGCTGGGGAGGGGTTGGTGGCACTGGGAGGCCACTTTCTTGCCCTGGCTTTGCCCTGTAATCCCAGGCAAGCCGCTCCCCGCTCCCACTTAGCCTTGGTTTCCCCCTTTGCAGGCTGGAGCCCCTCATCCGGCCCCCATAGGTCTTGCTGTGTACCCTTCTCCTTCCTCCACCCTGGGTTCTGTATTCTCTCTCTCTCTCCCTGCAAAGAGGACTTCAAACAGTTCCTTGGCACCAGCTCCTGGGGAAATCACCTACGTGTGTGTGTGCCTGTGTTCACGCACTTCCCCGGTCCTGCTATCCAGGTAAAGGTGTAAATAGTCCCTGAGCATTCGAGGAGTGGGCCTGCTCCAGGACAGGCTCCTCTTCACGTGATATGGAGGACCCAGGAAGTGGTCTCCCCCTCTGAGGCCAGACATAGGACCCCAGGGGACCAGAACTGGGAAGGCACCTTCTAACTATGGGGAAACGGAGCCCAGTGAGCACAGGAGTCTGGTCCAGGGCTGGTCATCTCACCACTCTGCCCCCCTTGGTTAAGAGTGGCTCTGATTTTAAAAGGCCAAACCCAAGATGCCTTCCAGTACCTGTGAAGGGAAGAGTTTATCAGGTTTCTGGGCAGCAGGGGGAGTGGGGCACCTTGGAGAGGAGGTATGTTGTTGGCAAGTCATCCTCATCAGCTTGTGGATGTACCCACAGTGTTATAGTTAACACACACAGTCACTTAAGTTGTCACATTTCACCCCGTAAGAACCACAGGAGACAGCCACACCAGTTGCTCACCCAGCCATTTGACAGCTTAAGTGACTTAAATAAAAAGAGGAATTAAGACTACAATGTAAATGTTAGAGTGAGACAGACTTCAGTTTACAAAAGGATAAACCTGCAGTGCTTCCAGTTGTACAAGAGAGCCTGCTTTGTTAAGTGGTGAGTTCCTTGTCCCTGGGGGTATGTAAGCAGTGTCTGGGCATCTGCTTGCTGTAGATAATGTGCTATGTGGTCACCTGTTAGATGGCGTTAGATGACCTGGTTTGGCGGGGGTCCCTTCCCATCCTGAGAGCCACAGCTGGGCTCTGGCGGAAGGTGGCAAGGAAGGTGAGAAGAGGCGGGGCGTACCTGCGCTTCTCGTTCCAGGCGTTGTACCACTTGATGAACCGCTTGGTGCTCTGCAGCTTGGGGTGCAGGCAGTGCTCCTGCCCTCGGTACCGGGACATGCTCTTGGTGGTGATGCTGAAATGCAGCGGGACAGGTGCAGGCTTGAGGAGCCTGAGAAACAGCCCTTCATGTGGCCCGTGGGTGGCCCTGGGCTGAATCAGAGACTGTGGCCTCCTCCCGGCTCTCGAGGGAGCCTACCTATGTGCTCACTCCCTGGATGGCTCTCTGGAAGGTTCTGGGTGTCCCCATATTCTCTGACGCCACATTAGGGTCTAACCCTGTATGGAGAGAGCAGCCCTCACTTTTCCCCTCTGAGCCCTCAGAGTCTGGGATAGTCTGTCACCCCCATGTGGTGTGTCGTGTCCAGGGCTCGGGCCTCTCTTAGGGAACAAGGGTCAGGGGACTCTTGCTTGGAATCAAGTGGTGAAAAGAGCCAATGCCAGTAAGGTGCACGTGCCAAGACCTCTGTGGTTGGATTTGAGGAGCTCCACAGTAGGCTCCAGCACGCCCTACAGGTACTCTGGTCTGTGTCTGCTCAACTCCAGGTCCCCTAACCCTCCGCACATCGCCGAGGCTGGGCATTGGCTGATCTGGAGGCAAAGTCTTGTTGGCCTTGAAGCTCGTTTTGATTCTTGAGTGTCAGGTCCCCGTTATCTCACCCTCAGGCAGAAGATAAGACCTCTTTTCTCCATGGCCTGAACATCTCAGGCCTCTATCAGCCAATGTTCCAACACCCAGTGGAGGCCTGGCCATGTTGCAGAGAAGCAGGGTAGCACTGTACAGAGAACAGGGGCCTGGGACTGAAGCCCAAGTTTGGCTGTGGGACCTTGGGTAACCTCTCCGAATCCAGTTTGCCCATCTGCAAAATGGGTACAATAACAGGTCCCATCTCATAGCGTTATTGGGATGACCAAAGCATATAATCTATGCAGAGTGCCCCACATGTGGTAGAAACACAATGAATAGTTACTGTTATTAGTAATTAGTCATGGAAGGTGAGATGGCCAAGGAGAAAGAGTAGCCTTAGTGTGTGAGCTGGGGCCTGGCGAGGGAGGCAAACCTGCTGCCCAGGGCTGCTGCGCCCCTCTCAGCCAGGACTGGGCCACAGGGGTGGCAGGAGTCGGCGGAAGCTTCTGGGTGAGGGAGGAAGGAAGGTGTTTCAAGGGGGCTTGGCAAAGTGTAAGGCGAGAGGTGAGGATGCCACTTCCTGAGGGGTCACAGTCAAACAAGGTATGATGGTAGACTGGAGTGTCAGAATGGGCTTGGGGGGCAAAGAGGGGAGACTGGGGGTGAAAGTGGAAAGCATGGGAATTGAGGGAGAGAGGTTAGCCCACAGGCACCAAATTTAAAGTGTCAGGGCTCATGGGCCAAGTTCTAGAAGGGGGAAGGATTGCTGTGACCTCAGTCTCCCAGTTGATGGGGAGAGAAAATCAGATCTTGCCACCAGAATGGGGGTGGAATGTTTCAGGCAACCTGTTCTATTCCCGTCTCTGTGCTCTGAATTTCTGGGACCCTAAGCTCCCGGGGGCAGGGATGGGCCTTCTGCTGATGTCAGGTGACTGGACGCTGCCATCAATGGACCCCTCCTCTGGGCCTTGAGCATGGGCCAGGCTTCAGAGTGTGCCATTGTACCCAGTCACCCTGCAGGAATTTAGCAAATGCTTTTCTCTCTGCCTACGAGGCTGCTTTTGCACTCTGAAGGAAAGGACATGGCAATGTTGATAAAAGCCCGCTTCTCGGTTAGTCAGCATGCAGGCTGAGCATCTGAAATCCTGAAGGTCAGGGAGAGCAGGAAGGGATGCCGGCCTCCCAGCACAGTGCTCAAATGCCGCGTCAGATGACTGGGATTATGGAAATCGGTTGTGGAGTGCACACAGCAGGATTTGTGACCCCAGCAGCTATCAGAAATTCTGAGACCTCTCCTCAGCAGTTGTGGGGTGCCAAGGGTTTTAGTGAGAGTTCTGTGGACATATGACACCAAGTGCCCTTTCTAGGATCTGGACTCTCCCGGACCCTTTTGGGTGCAAGGACTCCCACTTGCAGCTCGTGCTGCTCCCCCCACCCCCATATCTCCAGCCTCAGCAGGGATTTCTGGGTGACTCAGGGTGAGCTGGAAAACTTGCTTTTGTTCAGCCTTTGCGGCTGAAAACCTGCTTTGGCAAAAAGTGCTGGCCCCTTGTTTGAGCTAGAGAGTTTTAGGATCTTGGGAGGGGAGAGGAGCTTCCAGCCCTTCAGGGGTGGAGTGGGGGTTGGAGGTTTAGGAGGGGGCGACTATGTGCTGATCTCGTGGGGCTCCTGCAGGTTTTTGCAAGGCTACATAAAGCCTTCTCATGCACTTGCCTGGCTGCAGTTTTCCTCTGTATTTGGGACAGTTTAGCCAGGGAAAGAGCAAGCCTCTTTATCAAGGGTTCCATCCTTTTGGGAACCACTGTGCTCCAGACCCTGCTTTCTCCACCTGCAAGATCTCAGAAACTCACTCGGTATATGGGGTGTTTTTCAGCCCTTACAGGAGTGAACTTTAACTTGCAATGCCTCCCGTCATTCTCAGCCCCCAGCCCGGAAGGCTGGAGGGGCTCTCCCAGCTTATTCGACCCCTGGACCCCACCAAAAAGACTTTCAGCTGGTTTTGTGTACTTGGTCTGAAAGGCAAGGGGCGGGGACAAGGAGGTGAATTTAGTTGCCTGTGAAGGAAGGGGAGTGGGGTCAGCTGGGGCCAGTGGATTTCAGAATGCCCCAACTTCAGCCTGACTGTGTGGCCCCAGGCAGGGGTGTGGATGCTGGTGGGGGTGCGCCCTGCCTTCGCAGACACTGTGTGAAGGCCTTTGGGCCGCAGGGCCAGCCGCTGGAAGGCACTTGCCCAGACTGAGAATAAAGTGTGTCCTGTTTCTAGGGGAGGGGAAGAGGGGCCAATGGTCCGTGGCAAATATTTGGTAGCTGCTTTGCCAAGGGCTCCCTTCCTGGCCAAGAGAGAACTGACAGGGAAACAGCAGTGCTGGCCTCAAGTGGTTAATTGGGAAGGCAGAGGCGCAAGGAAACTCAGTGTTCTCTGCCCCAGTTTTTAAAACATTCCCCACATCCCCAGCGCGCGCAGCGCTCGGGCCACGCGGCGGCACATTAACCCCAGCAGAGCACTTTCCCCTGGACTGCTCAGGATCTAGGAGCCGCAGGAGTTCAGCTGGCGAGGGAAGAGCCCAGTGCTCTCAGAACGAATCTCCGGGAGCCAAAAACCTGCGGCCCACTGGTCTCTGACTGGGAAAAGGCTCTGGAGGGAGGGTCGGGATTTAAGATGATGTCTGCATCAATCCTCCGTCCAGCGACGGGAGAGCGCGTTCTAAGTCCGCGCACCGAGCCATTTAACCCTTGCTGGCCCTACCCGTCCGACTGACTGCTAGCACGGCGCGGGACAGTGACCCCCCTTTCCAGACTGTCTTCCAAAGTATAGCGCCAGCGTGCAAAGGACTCTGAGCAATGACCAAGGCTTCGCCAAGCCCTTGCCAAAGGCCGAAAGAAATGTTAGCCCGACCCAGCCCCTGCCAGCACCCGGTTAAGAGCAAGCAGCACGCTCAACGCGAGGTGCCAGAACTCACATAACCATTTTCTCCTCGCAGTGCGGGTACTTTGGCTTCATTTCCAGCTTCTTCACGTCGCTGTAGCGGATCTTGGGCCCCTTCCGAGAGCACTTGCACTTGGACCCTGCGGGAGAGCGCGCGGGGACCGCTCAGTTGCCCGGAGGGTCTCCTGCCCCTCCACCGCCTTCTGTACCCACCCACCCACACCCCCCGGGGGCCCAGGATGTCCAGAAGTTGGCCTTTGGGTTCCCCAGGACTGGACGGGACGGTGACAAGGGGCCTCCCGGCACTCACCGTCCACGCGCGAGGCGCACAGCGCCAGGAGCAGCAGGAGCAGCGCGGCCGCCAGGAGCCTCATGCTGGCCTGAGGGGCGCGGTGCGTGAGCAGGGACGCGGGGAGGGCACCGCCCGTCTGAGCGGTGGCCCGGAGATGCCGCCTGCCTAGGCTCTCTGGAGCGCACTCCGCTGGGCTCCCGCGCTGCGCCGTCGGGGGTGCCGGGGCTGTCTGTCGCTGCGCTGCGCTGCGCTCTGCCTCCCTCGCGCTCTCCCCACAGCCTCCCTCCGCCCGCCCTGGCCTCTTTTAAATCCGCTCCTGCCCTCGCGGCGAGCTCATTAATATGCAGAACCACTCGGTGACTCACAGAGATTTCTCAATGTGATGGGGGGAGGAGACCTTCCCAGCCCGCCCGCCCGCTGGGACGGACCGTGATCGCGCGGCCACGCGCACACCCGCCACCCTCCCGCTCTCGCGCCTTGTTCTCCCTCACACACTTGCTCACCCAGGCTGCAGCCCACACACTCCCAGCGCCGGCTCTGCCTTGGGGAGCCCCGACGGTGGGGAAGCTTTCTGACTCCCGTGGGGCCCTTTCTGGCCAGAGGGGCCAATGGTTCTGAGCGGCTGGGAGACCCAGGCCCCGGGCCCAGGGCTCAGAGAAGGCCTGAAAGCGTTTTGGGGCAGGTGCCAAGCATGAGTGCCAGCAGGCCTGACCCCTAGGGTGTGGGCAGTCTTTGTTGGGCCAGCAGCCCTGGTGGCCAGAGCACAACGCCGGGTCTGGACAGGGGTTTGTCATAGATTGTACAGCAGCAAAGCCATTGCCTGCGGTCACTGGAACTGACTCAGAGAATGGGGAGTTTGGGTCACTCCCAGAGGAAGGCTACCTCAAGTGAGTGCGTGGCCTGGTGGCTGTGCGAGCATCTAGGGAGTGGGGAGAGCCAGGGGGACTCCTGATTGTCACACTATTCTCCGAGGCCAGGCAGAGGCCCAGTAGGGAGCGACGGCAATATTAAGCATCTGGATGAAGGTCCTTGCGTGTTCCAGACATTGTGCCAGGCTGTGTGGTGTCCTGGGGTGGGTCTAGCCCTGGCAGCAGGAAGTCCTGCCCAGTACTTGCCAGTGCAAGCGACTTCACCATTCTAAGCCTCCGTTTCCTCATCTGTAAGGTGCAGATGGTCACAGTGCCCGTCACAGGGTGTCTGTGAGAACTGCCGGAGGTCATACATAGTGACCTGTACACAGTGCCAGGAGATGTTACTGGTTGGCATTATTATGATGTATATATTTTTATATATTATTTTGATTCTTACAAATTTATACTTTTCTTCCAAGTTGGTACTTTTTATTTCTTTGTTTGACAGGCATGGAAACAGGCTCAGAGAGAAGAAATCACCTGCCCAAGGTCACAGAGCCAGGAAGCAGGTGAGTAGGCCAGGAGAGTCTGCTGTCTGTGTGACTGTAGAACTGAGACTCCTGTCCCTGGGCCACTCTGCTGCCTGTCGGCCTTCTTTTCTTGGTGCAGTGCTGCCTCGAGAAATCTAGAGGCAGGGGATGGAGCATCTCAGGCTCGTGGGGTCCCTGGCTTGGCTCTCAGGCCAGAGCTCACCCAGCTCTGTGCTGTCAGACTGGAAGCTCCCTGGGGGCACAGGTGGCCAGTGGGGTGGGACGCAGTCTGCTGAAGGGCAGAGTGGGGAGAATCTGCCTTGTCTGTTCCTGCCGGGAGAGCCTTTGCTGCGCCATGAAGAGCAAGCAGTGCCTGTGCGTGCAGCTGTGCCTGTAGCTAAAGCAAGGCTGATGGCTGGACCTTTGCATTTGTGCAGAAGAAGAGTGCGGGGGAGTGGTTTTGGGCATTTCTGTTAATTTTTTGAAATATAGAATTAGTTTTTCTTAACACAGAAAGAAGCAGCCTGTGTTTGTTTCAGAAAACTCAGAAAACACAAGCAGAAGAAACATAAAAAACACAAGCAATTCCGCCCACTCAGGGATCTGTACCAAGATGCTGGCAGTGTTATCTTTCCAAATCCTTCACGTGCGTGTGCACAAATGGGACCAGGCAGCAGGTGCTGTTCAGTAACCTGCTTGTTGTGCTGTGCATATGATGGACATTGTTCCATGTGGCTAGTCTTGCTTCTGCAATAGCTCCTGTGGCGGCATCATTTGAGGCCGTGTAGTGTAATGGCTGAGAGGTTGGTGTCTGCAGTCAAGCTGCGTGGATGTGAACCCTAGCTACTAGCTGTGTGGCTGTGCGCAAGTGACTTAACTCTTTTAGGTATCGGTATTCTCATCTGTGAGGTGGAGATGATAATGGTACCTGCAGCACAGGCAGAACTGAATGAGATGGTGCACGTGAAGCTTTTTGTGGTTGCCAGCACAGAGTAAGTGTTCAGTGAGTGATGACATTGTTATTATTGATAGCATTACTTTGGGTGTAGAATATTCCATTGTACACATGCGCCGTAATTAATTTAACTGACTACTCCTTGTAGGACATTTGGATTGTTTTCAACTGTATGCTCTTACAAGTAGTGCAGTGTAGCAAATATTCATGTAGCTCGATTTTGGGGTAGCTCTTTATAAATTGGATCAATTTTCAGAAATGAATCACTGGACCGTGGGACATGCCTGTTTTAAGGCTTTT